AGAGTCCAACTCTCACTTTCTCCACATTTGTATTCATTCACACACCAACATACAATGATACATTACATGAATACAACTTTCTAAGCTACTCCTAAGCTATAACAACACAATATTATACACTTTACATTAATATTTACTAAAATAAAAACAACAAACATTAATATTTTGAAACCTACACTTTTCAGCAAGCACGCATAAACTAATGATTTTAGAGTGAAGGAGAAGCACTTACAAACTCTAGCAAGCAAGTTGAAAAAGAGGAAATTATTGGCAAAAATGAAGTGGTGTGGGGTTAGATATGGAAGTGTGATTGTTGTTGTTACGAGGGAGATGATGAATAGTGTAGTGATGTTGTCTTTGTGTGATTTTGTGTTTATGCTTTTTCTGATTGTTGTGCCTGAGTTTGAACTCTCTAAACCTCACTTTTTCAAGTTTTCAAGAATATATAATACAACTATAGAGTTTTATTTTTTTAAGAATTTTTTTTTGTATGTTTCAATGTGAGAAAGTGACACAAATTGTGTAGCAAATAATAGTTCTACATTGTCTAATGGACAAAGAAAGCTTTATGCAAATGGTGATGAGCCAAAAAATGACAAAGGAAATGGTAAATGGAAGATTGTTAGAAGTGGAAAATGTGGAAAAGTGGTGAGAATCCTGAATTATTTAGTTTTTTTAATTTTAAAAAAATAATAATACTAAAAAATAAAAATTAGTAAACCAAATATTTTTGTATTTTTATTTTAATTTCATAAAATGGCAAAAATATGTTAAATAATAAAAAAATGATTAAAAAATTAAATTCAGACAGAATTGGGGTGCTACACACATTTCATAATTTGTAATTCTTTCCACCTTCTAGATAACCAATGAAGACACACTTAATAACTCTAGTATCAAATTGGTCTATCTTGATATACACAAAAATAAAAGCTCTGAATGCATTGAAATTAGATAATTCTATTGGTTCACTACTTCAAACCACTTTAGGTGTCTTAAAGTATGTTTCTTTGAATAGACATATGTCGATCAGATAAACTACTTTATCACTAGCCTTTCCCCGGAAGCTCATTGGCAACCCATCTCTTAGGAACATGCCACCAATGCTTGTATGCCTCTTTATATCTTCTTTCCTGCAAAACTCCTTAAATTGTTCTGAAACAACCTTTAGGCCTTTGTTAGTTTTTTCTCATTTACATTTTTAAATTCAAATCCATAGCTTATGTTTGTCATGAAAGTCTTTAATAGTCGTAATGCATGACCAATAATAGTGGATTCATCTATATTATATAACCCACACATTTTAGATCTTTTAACACAGAGCCATATGAAATTTTTAACACTATATGTTCAACTCTAGTGCAATAGCTTGGATCATCTAACATGTTTATGGACAACAAGTTTTGCTAAACTCAAGAACATAAAATTGTGTAAGGGAATGCACACCGATCATAAATTTTAAGTCTAGTTGTACATAAATCATGAAATTTTGCTAAACTCAAGAACATAAAATTGTGTAAGGGAATGCACACTGATCATAAATTTTAAGTCTAGTTGTACATAAACCATGAAATTTGCAAACCTTATTGTTACTAAGTCGAAAGACTCCACATGCTTTCAGCTCTAGAGTCTCAAAGTACTCCCCCGTTTCAAAATGACTGTTGTTTTAGAGAAAAAATTTGTTTCAAAATGAATGTTATTCTCACTTTCCAATGCAGTAATAATTGCTATTTTTCTAATCGTGTCATATAATTATTACTCTGTACACTATTTTTAATACATCAATAAGACTAATTTAGTAAAAGTACAATATTTTATGACAATATCATTGCATTCTTTAATCTGTGTGCAAAAATCTTAAACGACAGTCATTTTGAAACGAAGGGAGTATTATTTTTTTCAGACACATGTGATAAGAGAATTATGTGTCCGTGACCCAAATATTTTTCGGTCTCCAAACTCGTTACCACTAGTGTACCATCATATTTGTAACCATCATCATCTAAGGTAACACAAATCTAAACAATACTTCATTCCCCTCCCTCGGGACAATCATTCTTGAAGTGGTCGATTTTTAGACAAATAAAGTATTTTAACCCTGACTTATCAAAGCCCTGGATTTGTACCTCCCATTATTCTCACTCCTTCATATTGATATACCCAAGTATTCACCATTAAACTTAACCTTCAAATCTTTTATTATTGAAAGTTCTTTGGACTTCATCCAAGGTGGTAGTACCTTTGTTACCATAATGAAGAGCTTCCTTGAGTGCTCAAAGAATTTGATCTAAATCATATACTCTTTAGAGACATCAACTCTTCAATTCAATATATTCAAAAAAATTGTTATAAAAAATTACAAAGAGTTACAATAAAATAGCATTCCAAGTCCCAAGAACATCTCTTATTTTTTAGTTAAGTATTTCTCAATCTCTTCAATTTTTAATATATAGATCACACAAACGCAAAGTGTTTAAAAGTGTTTTTTAATCCTCTGAATTATTTTCATTTTCAAAGATCTTCTAATTCTTAGCCTTGAAATCTAAGAAATTCACCATTTCTTCTCAAGAGTTGAAAATGCCTTTTATAGGTTCTAAGATAGTCGCAATCTGTTTACCTTAAACATGTTGCATTTCTGAAGAAATGAGAGTGTAGTTAGTTTTCATGAAATTTCAAATTAATTTTTAAGTCAATCTCCCTAACAAAAATTTGATTAAAAAATAAGTGGTAGAAAAAAATACCTAAATCCTAGAACTCTTCGACCAAATTGTAGATCACTTAAACTTATAATTTCGGCATCTCGTAGATAATCACTCCAACAAAATTAATAACTCCAATATTAGATTATCATCAAATATAAAATCTAGGCAGCAAAGTTTAACAACCACAAATAGAATTCTAAAGAAAATAAAAATAGTTAGTTATCATATAATAAGAAAAATAAAAGAAATTAACTATTATAGATAAACGTACAAAGAAAATAAAAAAGAAAATAGTAACTATAACGACTAGATAATCAAATAAGTATACAAATATATCTTGGGGTGCACAAAAAACTTCAATGAATATCAATACATGTGAATTAAATCAAAGAACTTTGATGTTTATTTTAAAGTATAATTGAGACAATTTAAATAACTCAAATGAAAGCTACATACCAAACAATATCAGCACTGAAATCGGTCTAATATTAAAAACGCGTGTTTGAAAAAAAATTACTGGATAATAAAAGAGCTTTGTCGATTTAGATTGAGGACAATCAAAATCATCAATCAAGATAGAAAAGACTTTTGTTTTCGTCAAGAATTAAATTAATTATATGAATTATCAACCTTAGTGAACAATTAAGTGTTGGATTGTAATAAAAAAAATTAAGGTTAGAGTTTTAAATTTGGGAATAAAAAATAAAAGACAATATAGAGAGTGAAAAATAATGTTGAAAGTGAAAATTTTGTTGTGTCTGAAAAATTTAGTTTAAAATTGAGAGAATTAAGAAAAGAAACAATTGACCTTTTTTTAACTTATCTTCTTCAGTTTCGCTCTTCAATTACTTTCAACCATAAAATTCGCATATTAAAAAAAGTGATGTAAACTAATTAATGGATTTTAATATATGAGTCATATTCGTTTATTATTATATCATTACATGGATAAAAAATTTTATACATTTACACGAAAATAAATATATTCTCAACTCTAAATATTATTTATTTGTTTTAGATTTTTTATTGAATTTATTTAAGTATTTTTTTTCTTACAATTATTAATAAATAATTTATTTTCTATCATAGAGTATAAACCAATATTAATAAAAAGAAAAAATTAGTGGCATGAATTTGGATCCATGCACTATTTTGGATATAAAGTTGAAGAATTTCTTTCCCCCAACACCTTTTGAGTTTCTGAAAATACTTTGTTTGAATTCTAGAATTCTGACTTTGATTTTGAGTGTTTGAATTTTAAATGAACTATAAATCAATAATTATTTATTTTAATTAACACATTCAGATATTCTAGAGTCCAAATAGTGCAACTTTATAAAATAAAAATAATATTTAACACGAATTCTAAAATTCAAAAGTAAATTTTAAAAATTCTAGAATTTGAAGAGTGTAAATTGATATTTTTAAAAATAGAAGTTGAGGAAAAGGAGTTTGAATGGTAGTTTTCAAAAACACACTCTGAATTCTAGAATTAAAAACTGTGCTATTTTTAAAGTTTCGAGGGGCGCGAGAGGGGTGTGAGGAAAAGAAATACACACAAAGCTGTGGTCCTCGAATCTGTCCACTAGGACCATGTACTGTAGCGTTCAGGTCTGTTGGCCGAATTTGCTGCTAAGACCATTTCAGCCCTGGCCCATTCATTTCATTTCTGCTTCACTTTGTAACAAGAGAGTGCAGAGTACAAATGCTATCAATCTGCATACGTAGACGAGCATAACCAACACACACAAAAAAGCACATGAGGACAACAATATGTTGTAATGTTCTTGCTGTCAAAATAAGAAAAAAGAGTAGTTGTCCGCTCTGGATTGCAGAATCTTATAATAGTAGTTTGCTAATGAAATAAGCAATGCAAATTGGTACTAATGAAATAAGCAATCAATTGTACATTTGTTTGCTTCTGACCTTTTCTTAGACAAAATGAAGCTTCTTCAACTAAAGATCAAATACTCAAAACTTAAATTCTAGTAATTAAATAAGTTATTTTGGCCTCAAAGCCCTTTTGGAAATTTCTCAGAAGTTTAGAAAAGTATAGTGCAGAGAATAATATATCATAAAAATATGAATATTTAAATGCTGTACACCAAATGAAAAGCATGGAAATTGATTATTCTAAATGTGTATTATACATCATGTCTATAGACTATAGTTACATAAATATAACCTCCTCTACAATAATCACAAATTGCATCAATTAGAGGAGTGGATTTGGACACATACATACTAAAACAATCATAACAGAGAGTATTCAACATACAATCATCTCAGCTCATTAGATCAACAACCTCGAATGTCACGCCACCTGAGATAAACTAACCCTGCACGATAATGAGTGTATGCTCCGGCTACAACCAATATATGAAATAATTGGTGACTGTGTCCAGCAATGTCAAATTTCCCAGGCATCCATCGTTCGGGAATCCTGGTGGCATAAACCAGTGCCCCGAGTCCATAGAAAGAACCCATCAGAATCTCATAACCAGTTGTGTAAAACACTTCAGGTTCACCCCAGAACAGAAAAAGCTTGTGCAGAATAGGTCCTGCACCGGACAAACCCATTCCCAAAAAGAGGGATGCACGGATGGTGCGGAATTCCGGGGTTTGAAAAACTGGAAGGAGAGACACCAAGATGGTGGCAATGCCCAATATAGTAATAAAGCCCATGTAAAGGTTGCAGAAAAATGGATAGCACATAAATGAGTAATATACTGGAGGATAAAAAGAGGTAGATATCAAAGCTGCAATTCCGGCATAGTCAAGCCTGAGCATAATGTATGATACACGTTCAGAGTGGCAAGAGAGGAGATGGCAAACACTGCTAGCTAGCAAGCAAAACATGGCTCCCCCTAAAAATGCATAAAAAGGCCACCTTGTAATTGGTCTAATCACCAGTGGTGCTATTAGGTTCGCCAGGTCCTCTTTTACGTTGTGCTGCGCAAAATCAACAAAGAAATAAGCAAAGTTGCATTGACTCCAAAAGTCTAGTTAATAATCAACAGAAACATAGGAAGAAAAACATAGCAAAATATTTCTAATCAGAAATGCATGAGGGATTTAATTCTGAAAATAAGGTTCCGAGCAGGAAATTTTGTATGAACTAACATCTTTAACCCTTCATTCAGTATTTTTCCTTTATCAAGTTTAACTCTTAATTTGTTTTTTTATAAATCTCTACCATATCATATATTGCACTCCAGATGAGATATGCATCTCATATACTTAGTGCTTCGGCAGGGCCATCTTTGAGGACGTGCAAAGCGGACTACCGCACAGGACCTCAAATTTTTCAAGGTTAAACAATAACTAAACGGGGCCTCATAAAATATCTATCAAGTTAAATCGTAATTAAATATGGCCTCAATCTATTTTGCCCTTATTAAACTATGACTAAGCTATTCAAGGCCTCCAAAAACTTGAGACGGCTCTGTGATTTGGCACATTGATTTTTAATCAATATTTTAGACACCCTTAAAGATACTGAGGAAACAAATCAATGAGTGAGCTAGACTAACACCTCACTGCCACTCCTCGAACCACAAAGGGAAAAAAAAGATTATAACTAGCAGTCGGATGTAAAGTAATTACCAGAACACAAACATCAGAATGATTGCTACTGGAAAATCTTACAGGCAAACAGTTATAGAGAAGTTCTTTTATATGCCAGCTTGAGATTTCATCCCTGAGTCTTTGCAAATCAGGCATGGAAGGTAGGCACGTCAAAAGTTCTGATTGTAGTTTATGCAGGTCAGCATTCTTGAGGATGTCGGGCAAATGCTGTAGTGAATTAAGATCTACAACCTGCGGAATTTTCATGGCAGTGTATATGGTCAATGCCAGGAACAGGAAGAACCCAATCAAATGCCTGCAAGAAATCGAGTTACAAACTTCAAAATTCCCATTAAAAGCTATAAGCACTAAACCTAGTTTGAAATGAATTAATAAACAGTTCAAATTCAATCAAAATTCATGAGAAGATTACATATAACTATTCAAAATTGACACGCAAAAATTAAAAAAAAGAAAAAAGTGTTGTTATCTTACGTCCAAACGTTGAGAGTTTCGTTGTGGATTGTGAAGATGCTAAGCAAAACCTGCTTCATAGGCCATTCAGATCGATAGTGACCAAGAATGTATTCATTATCTCTAAGAAAAGCTGGCAAAGAATGATACTCAACAAGCTGGTACTTAACCTTCTTCCATAGCCTTTTCCCTTTCCCTTGTTTTTCGTTCTCCAACAAACCAATTGAATCTTTATCAATTGAATTATCACTCCCCATTATCGACGAACACAATTACGCAATTGATAAAGAAATTGAAATCGATGAAAGGGAGAAGAAGAAAAGGGACGTGGTTTTACAAGAGTGAGAAAACGCGGTGGAGAATGAAAAAATGATGATTAGGGATGAACGGAGAGGATTTAAGGAAAATGAGAAATGTAATGTCGACGATGTTAACGAGCGGAGAATCTTGGATTGAGATGCGGAGATGCCACCTAAGATCGGTCTTTGTTCTAATCACTTCTTTTGGGCGCAGGGATTTCTTGTTATACCAACCTTTACTTTTTTTATAAAATATCTCCATTTAGTATTATTAAAAAGAAAATTAAATATATTTCCATTTGATCAAGAATTTTCTAATTTGTATCGATTAGTATAATGTAGTGAAATTGTTTTTTGATTTAGGATTTTTGTAAAAATAATTTAATTGATAGGTATATTACCAATTAATTATAATCGTTAAACTTTTTATGAATATATATTAAATTTATATTTTTTTTAGGTTTTTGTCCAATGTTAATGTAGAATTTGTTGAATTTTTTTTATGGCATCTTATGTGTTTCTATTGGATTATGTAAATTTTCACAAATACCTTTTGTTTTCGAATATATTTTTCAGACACACTCAAATATAAGTTACCGTTAAAATATTTTAGAGACGCATCTCTGAAACAATTTTGAATATAAGTCGCGTCAAACTTTTTTCCTTTCTCATTTCACAATTTTTTAAAACTCAACGCAACCTCTCTTAATACACTACTATACACCAAGTCAAATTTCATCAAATAAGACTCAAGGGAACATCAATCTTCATCTCTAACATCATCCAACTTCATGAAAAACATCAATTTCAAGTAAGTTTTTCAAGTTTTCGATAAATATTTGAGTTTTAGTGTAAATTAGTAGAAATCAATGGTTAAGGTTAGAAATGAGTAAAAATCACATCTAACGTAATTTATACATAGTGTATAAGTTGTTTGTTGACTGAAAATGGTGATCAGAACAAAAAAAAAATTGACCTTTCATGTGGTACATTACGTCTTTGAAACAACTTCTGAGTTGCAAAAACTTCCGAAGATGCATCTCCGAAATTTTCTGTAGAATTTCTTTTAGTTTTTCTGCTTGTGTGTTGTTTTCCTGCACTAATGGTATGTCTTACATTAACTTACAAACATAATGGCTAATAGGCATGACAGACTGAGACATGACAGGGTTGTTCAGCACACATCTATTTGACGGGAGAAGAGCCTACAGGTTTCAGAGGCTCCATCTCCCTTTGGTCAAGCAGAGATGTCTACTTTTAGGGCATGTGTTTCTCCTCAGGCCACCCCACCTTCTTCTTCCCGTAGGAGACGTGATTAACCATCTAACCCATCACTTCCCCCATCCTCTCATAGACGTCAGGTTTCACCAGTGTGTTCGCCGTGAAATTTGGAGAACAACCGCTGGTCTAACAAATCTTAAAGACTCGTTTTAACTTGCAGGATCGACCACACTAAATCCTAGGACATAGCTAATCTTAGTTTAAAATATAAAAAAATCTAAAAGAGAAGGATACATACTTCGACAGTATTGAAAATAATAAAAAGGTTTTGACATTAAAACAAGTAGAAAGTGAAAGCAATTTGGGGTGAAGAAGATAACAACTCGAAGTAAGAGATAAAGACCAGGAAATATAACTTGCATAAAAGTAGTAAAGTAAAGGAAGATTCTTATGAAAGAAAAGAAGAACTTTAATGCATTACAATAAAAGATGGTGTTTCGATACGTACATTCTCAGCTATAACTCTTTTCTCACTTCGACTTGGATACTTTGAGTAATTTTATGAGTGACTTGTACCAAATGAACACCCAAAAATCATAAATTGAGTCATTATTTATAACCAGTCGAAATAACCGCTCCTAATGACTCAATGGACTAGATTAAAACAAATGTCGTTTTGCATGCTTGATTACTAGAAACATTGCCATGTGCCTCCTTCTATTGGCGGAAAAATAATTGTATTTCCCTTCAGAATTCGAATTCAAACTTCAAAGATTTTTGTCTGTTGAATCGTCCGTCTTCTAGTCGAAATCCTCGCAGCATAACCATAGTCGAAAAATACATGTCTTAACTTAAAAACCTAATGTTTCCACCTGGGCGTCGAAATTCAAGGCTAACAAATTGCCCCCAAAAATGTTACTTTCGACTTCTAAAAAAAAAGACATTTTTTGATACTCCGCTTCGACGCCTCTCATGACCTTTGCATATCTATGAAGTCACATCCTCACTGTTCCCCATACTCAATGAAATCATATCATTTATCACGGCAGCTTCAACACGTCTCCCTCATGCATGCCACTAGTTGTGATCATGCTCCTAGGTTTTAGGAAATCATGGCCTAAGAAAAGGTGAGTTTTAGACTTTAACTGTTCACGTTCCCTCAAACCTTTTTCCGGTACAACACGTGTTCCACTATAGCCATGTTAATCGCCAACTAGTCTTTTCCCACTCCCACGTTCTTTTACCTTCTCCTATAAGTGACACCATCTACTTAGAACCACTTTTTACGCTTCCTAGTATTTCTCTTGCTATTCTTTCAAAAAGAAACCCAGATTTTCCTTTCTTTTTCCACAACCTTCTTTCAACAATGTCTTCTTCCACCATGACCAAAAATCACAAAAAAGCTCACAAGAAGGACTTGAAAAGAACCTCTCAGCTTCCACCTTTAGAAGTGCTGGTTGGGCCGAAGGTGATGGGAAACCAACAGTTCTCGCCTGAACCATTGGAGGATGAGAAATTCATAATCTATACTTCTCAGGTACTAATTCCTTTCACCATTGCTAAGAAAAGGCATGCCCTCTGTGGGCCTCTGCCTTCTGTAGTTTCTCATTCTAAAACCATTAGGGACTTCTTCCCATCTTACTGTGGGTCAAAACCCATAGGCCAAGCCAACAAACACCAAGTAGAAAACATCACTAGGGATGTTGTGACCCTTAGTGGGATAGACTTAAGGTATATGGGCACCAACTTTAGGGTTTTCCGCGCCACACCATCTTTCAAGGAGTCGAACGAATACATGAACTGGCTGGACAAAGTTGAAAAGGTTAAGTCCCACATTTGGAAACAAATGAGGATCTATTACGTTATCATGATGTTGAAAACTGGTTTAAACTACTGTTCGACCATGTTAGTATCCTCCCTATATTTCTAGGATAACACCCACAACACCTTTCATCTCCCTTGTGGGATGATGAGTCCGACATTGTTTGATATAGCCGCTATCACAAGGATAAAACCAATTGGGACCATATATGATCCTGACCTTGAGTCAGATGATTCAATAGGTTTTTTGTCAGTCAAACCCACGTACTCCCGATTCATTTCCCACTTTTTCGACAAATCTACCAATAAGGTTTCTAACGTCGAACACATAACTTTCCTCACCGTCTGATTGTCTCATTGCGTCTTTTGTTCCAAACCCCTTCAAGTAGCTAGGAAATTTCTAACCCTAGCCACCCAACTTCATCGAGGGTACGATATCTGCTTGAGTGAAATGATACTAGGAAACTTATAGGAATCCTTGAGTAAAGGAGTGACCCAATTGAAGGATCTAGGTGCAAAAGGCAACCTATTGTTGTCAGACCCTTTTTGGTTACTACAATTGTGGATTAATGCTTCCTTCGAAGCTAGTCTTCCAACCAAGGGTGTTGTAAATGAAGAAGAAGAAGAAATCAAGAACATGAGAGTCGAAGGAACTCGCTTGGTGAGGCTCACTCCCAGCGAAGAAGGATCGTTGCTGAGGCCTGCTTTCCTCATTTATGTCATGATGCAGGCGAAGTGTCATGATTTTATGTCGAACATGGCCCCCTTCGCAGCAAAGAAGTACGGGACAGAATGGTTCACAAGGCATTTTCCTGCGCCAACAAAAGCCCAAGAAGCAGAGTCGACACTGCTATGGGAGGCCTTTTAAACCCCAAGGTTAATATCTCTTCGAATGAACATGTCGAAGTCTCAAGTTGCGTTGGTATCTTACCAACCAAACCTTGTGGCTCGACAATTTGAATTGACGCAGGCACTTCCCAAATGTCTTTTTCAGAAGAAGGGCGCTCTCTTGCTTCCTGCTACTAAATTCAGTGAAGACGCGTGTTCGAAGCAACTAGCATGCTATGAGGGCAAGACTCAGTTGACCCCGTTCCCTTCAAACCTTGTTTCTTATGTACACCAGAGTTTCATACTAGGTGGTCGAAGTATTATGTTGAAGAGTTTTTTTATGCTTCTTCCTTTAGCAAACTAATTAACCAGGCTTTCCTCTCTGTGCAGGATAAAGCTAAAAAAGGTACTTCAACTTATATCAAAGAAATCCAGGCATTCTAAAGGTTCTTTGAAACCGTTTACCGACCAAGTGAACTTAGTCGGACTGTCCGTGACGTCGCTGTAACTTTGAAGGAAAAATTTCTAAAGAAAATGGAGAGTCTTCGACTTCTTTCATACGTCCCCCCTGAGAAATGTTATCAATTAGCCTTCAATCTGTATCCTCCCAAATTTCCTCGATTTCCATCTGCTGGCTTTGGAGTGGCTCTGATGAGAATATATAATGTTCGTCGTTCAATGGTTTAATGATTTAAGAAGGGGGGTTTTAAAATAGTTTTTATTTTTGTAACAAGAGTTTGCAAGAAATAAAACAGAATAAATTTTGGTCTTAGTTTGATAAAAAGCATGCCAAGATTAGGGTTCGCTAATCCGTCCTAAACGTATCCAACCGATCAAATATGTGAACTTAGTTTTAACCAACATAATCGTGTATCCTTGTAAAAACGTTTATTTCTAAAACGATTTAGTGAATGTTATTATTTAGACCATTAAATAATCTCTCTAAATAACACTCGAAACAATAATCATAAAGATCAATACAAAGCGAATATCAACTTTCAAACATATGTTTAGAGTTTGTATAGTTGATAGATGAAGAAATTAGGTCAAGACTTGAAAAGTTCATGTCTAAAGCAATCCAAACCATA